TGCCATGCTTTCTTGTAGTGAGAGCAATTTCTTATGCATCTCGACCTAAAAAATTTGAAACATTCTATTAATTCATATATATATATATTTAAAATTATACTTAAAAAGATCACAAGTCAAATGTTAGTTTAACATTATCATTGAAAGTAACTTTCATGTTCAAAAGTTGCTTTTGACCCAATCTCAATGCTAAATAACAAAAAATATGGTTTTTAATTTAAAAACTTGGTTTATGAACCCAAAGCTCCTTGAGAGGTGGTTTTGAGAAGAAAATGTGTGTTAGGAATAAAAATTACTATATTATCCACATGTTTTTAATGTTTTATTATTTTATACGTATCTTTTTAAGCATATCAATTACTTATAAAACTTTTTCACAATAATATCAGACATTTAAAATTTTTAATTACAATTTTTTGAAACCAAACTTTTTCCAACAACAACAATAATGTATAACTAGCCCTTAGTTTAATTAGATCTTCATCGTGTATTAAGGAGATTTTGCTAATATAGCGTTACGTCTTTTTTCACTCCATGTAATCATAAAGTAAAGGTGTTTATGAGTTGAATTAGTCTCCATTGGCACTTTTAGAGTTTTATCCAAAGTTCAATCAAGCTAATTCATTTAGGCCTGATCACCATTCAAAATTCTATTAATATTTTAATACTTTAAGAAATATTTTAAAATTAAATTTAAATACAAATTTTTATTAATAAAATAATAATATGAGTTGGACTGGACTTAAACCTTAAAATACTTATCAAATACTTACTCGCGATGAGCCTAACTTGCGAGCTTGACAAATAATATAGCTTATAAACAGGTTAGTCATAAGCAAGGTTAGTGATATAACATATTTTATCTTGATTAAATCCATTGCTTAAATTTTGGTCATATACGGATGAACAATACATGATCAAAATTTAAGCCAAGTGTTAACTTTTTATTTTTTTTGCTTTTTTAATTTTTGCTTTTTTTGTCAATTTTTATATTTAATAAATATTTCTTTTATAAATTTTATTTTCTAAGTGAGACTCACTTTATACCAAAATTTTTTTTATTTTTATATTTTTTAAAAATTTTAAATTTCTTTTTGTGGGATCCATTTGATACTAAGGGTATGTCACGTGTTTACTTTTTTTTTTTATTTTTTTATTTTTATATGTAATAAATATTTTTTAAGATTTTAAATTCTTTTTTGTCTCATCGATACCAAATGTATTTCATATGTCAAGTTATTTTCATTCTTTTAGTCTTTTTTTTTCTTTTTTTAAGCAATTTTCTATTTACTTTTTCTTTTAAATATTTATATATTTTTATAATATTTTATCTTGAGATGAAGTAGATATTTGGTCATTTTGTTCATAAATAATATTCTTTGAAACTGGTTAAGTTTTTTTTAAAGAGAGACGAGCTCAGGTCAAAAGCATAATTTGGATGCTGTCTTAAACTATTTTGAGGTACATATAAAAATTTATATTTTATTATTTTTTTAATTTTATACATATATTATATTAATAAAGTTATTTTTTACCTTAATTTAATAAATTAACATTTTATATTTAATATAGGTGCCAATGTGACGCCCTTTATGAGCTTTTTTTATTTTATAATTTTTTCTTTTTATTTATTTTATTTTTTTTATTTGGATAAATTTATAAAAAAAAATGAGACTAATTAAAGTATCCACGTATCATTCTTGTTTATTTTTTATCTTTCATATTTTTTTAATTAAATAAAATTTGTAAAAAAGTATATGATGAGTAAAGACAGTAAAACAAAAATTTTATCTGCGGTACCGCACGTGTATTTTTTCTAGTATATATAAATTTGGTTGGCAACCATTTTGTTAGTTTCTTATTATACACTAATATAAAATCTTAATCCTTTGGAAACCAAATGAACCTGTTTATTTTTATTTTTACTAGTTACGTTTTCCATCTTAAGCTTTTGATATAAATATAAATTAAAACTAATGCATACAAATTTTAAAATTATACCATTTAATTAAAAAATAAAATAAATGATTAGAAAAACAAAAATAAAAATATGTATTTTATTACATGTAAACTACGAAATAAAAATAATATTTTACATAATTCTTAATTTTCCAAAACCTATTTGATGTATTACGCAATATGGGTAAAAAAAATGATAATTAGGATAAATAGTAAAATAATAAAAAAGAAAAAAAAATTACATTGTTATTTTGAATTGGAAAAGAAAGAAAAACTTAAATAACTACATCTACTGATTTTTAAAATGGAGAAAAAGCACGTAAAATCGTTTTTTCATTTTTTTAAAGAAATAAATTATTAATATGATCTGATTAATTTATATTGTAGATTTTATAATCAAAATTTATGTAATTTACTAAATTGAATTTAGTGGCACCAACTCAATTAGGGGTTTTAATAATAATATAAATTGATTCAAAAATAAAATAAATGACTATAGAAACAAAAATAAAATTAAGTGTTTTATTACATGTAAAATATGAAATAAAAAATTATTTTTAACTAATTCTTAATTTTCCAAAAATTATTTAATATACCAGTCCTATGCACACTCACACACTCACTATGTGGATGAAATATGTAAAAAAATTGATAATTAAGATAAATAATAAAATACTAAAAAAAGAAAAAAATATTAAATAGTTATCTTGAAAGTAAAGAGAAAAATATGCTATAAAAGAGAGAAATATGAGACAAGTACACCTACTAGTTTTTAAAATGGAGAAAAACTAGGTAAAATGATTTTTGACTTTTTATTTAGTCAATGAATGCTGGTTCGTGCTTTAGAAGCAATCTTATCACCTTAGATAAAGTTCACTTATTTGCTTCTTTTTAAGTAGTTAAAGTGAAAGGGTAGCAGTAAGGTGATTTAATTGAAGTGCTTTTATCACTTTCAAAAATAGTTTGGAAAGGGTGATTTATCTAAAAATTTCGGTAATTTACTTTAAGAAATGATATTATTTTATTTTATAATAATTTAAAAATTTTATGTGACAATGATTTTAAATTATTAGATTAAAAAGATTTTTTTTGGATGAGTAATCTAATCTGCAACTTAAAGGGTGAGAAAGTTTTTTATTATCATAAAAATGGTAATTTTTAATATTATTTTTGACTAATTTATTCTCACAAAAAATATAGTTAACAATATCCTAAGAAGTTGGCCACTAAATTTTTTAAAAATTAATTTTTAATTATTTATTCTAAAAAAATATTTTATGTTATAAATTTATATTGATTAAAAAACAATGAATTTATTTAACAATTTTTTAAAAAATTATTTTTATCAAATTTAATTTATACATTAAGTTTTTTATAAAATAATATTTAATTATTTTATAAATTGTTGATTCAATAAGTATTAAATATGTCAAGATTAATTTGGATATTTTATACTATATGATTTATTTATTTATATAATAACAAATATAATGATTTAAAAATATCAATAATTTATAATATTGTATCAAATATAGTAATTTAAGATCATTCGTGATTAAATTATCTTAGTGATCTTATCATTTTAGTGATCTTACTATAATGATCTAATACTATAGTAATTAAATCATTACGATAATATTGAAAATGATACCAAATACTATTTTGAATAAAATAGTGAAAACTTTTATTTTTTTTAAGTAGTGGAAATGATCATATTTTATTGTTTTAGCATAATTAACTGAGTTGGTGTTATAAATTCAATAAAAATTAAATTATAAAATCAACAATGAATATTAATAGATTATAATAGTAATTTAGGTTATATTTGTTAGTGCTTTGCTTTTTTTTTTGTTTTTGCTATTTGTTCGTTGCCTTCAATTAATTTATTTTTATTTTTGTTTTGTTATTTTGTATATAAAAATAATAAAAGCAAATAGTAAAGGAAAATGCCCCTCTTTATTAATTAAAAAAATAGTGAAAGTTTACACTATTTTATCTAAGGTTATAAGTGTATTTTTCATTAAATTTATGATTAATATTTGTTTAAATATTTTTATTGTTTTAATTAATTTTTATTTATTCTTATTTTTAATTTAAAATTATTAAAATTTAACTACATATTTACATTATTGATAAAGTAATGAAAAATTTCACCAATTTTTTAAGTTCTTAATCTTGGATTTTTTATGTTCATATTTATTTGGCTGAATATAAACTATTTTAAATACACAATCTTTAAACTTCAATTCTAATATCATGCGAATTGATTTAAAAATCAAATGACTTTAATTTATTATTATATTCATAAAATATTATTTTTGAAATAAATTATACTTTTATTATATATAAATATAATATTTTTATTAAAATATTAAATAACAATTTTACTAATATATAAATATAAAATTAAATAAATAATAAAAATATATATATCCTCAAGATGAATTCGAACGAAATATCCTAATTCAATCGGACTTAAACTTTAAAAAAAATTTCTGACTTACCTCCTACCTTATTTTAATTTTAAATCAAAATTGTTGTTATTAAATCAAGATGAATTACAATTCATCGAGTATAAAATTTTTTTATCAATACGAATTAATTTGTGATTTATACGACAACTTTCAACTTTCACTATTTTTGAATAATAGATATGATTTTTTTCCCTTGAAGATTTTTTTTTTTTTCATTTAGCCGTAAAAGAGAAAGCATGCAATTAAGGATGGGTAAAAAGACATAAAAAAATCGTATGCTATGTAATTATCATATTATTATAGATTTTTTACATTAAAAAATTTTATTAATCTGTTAAATAAATTATTGATATCTTTTTTTTCAATAAAAAAAATTTATACCGACTCATACTAATAATAACTTATTATAATGAAAGATATATCTACGTGAATTTAACTTTAACTAAATAAAATCGTACTGCATTTTATTGGACAATCCCCAAGAGGCGCGAAAGTAGTCCTACTACACGTCGTCGTTTTATATCTGCCTATAAATACCACCAACGTTTCCCTTTCTGTTTTAGAGTTACAATTGGAGAAACCCTAAAATTCTTGCATTATTTTGCAGCTCTTCAATGCCGGAGTTAATAATAATAAAAATAAATAATAGCCTGCGATAAACCTTTGTTTATTTTATTTTATTGTTTTCGATCGTAAGAAAAATTAGTTTGAAAATGACGAAAAAGTTTTTTTCAAGAAGAGAGTTGTTGGATCGATGGAGAGGCATCGAAGAAGAAGAAGAAGAAGAAGAAAGTGACGATACTGATCCTTCAATACGACGTCGCCTTCACAAGCACAAAGAAGAATGGTTTCGTTTTTCTTTCTTTTCCTCTCTTTCTGTTTCCCTGACTATAGTATTTATGTCCTTTCCGAAAAAGAAAATCAAAGAAAATGTATGATCGTATTTTCTCGTGCAATTGGTTCAACAGATTTATTTATTTTTTCTTTTTTACTTTTTTCCTGCTTATATATAGAACTGAAGAAATTAGTAAAATGCATATGCAATGAAATTATAAGTTGATTTTAAAATTTCTATTTTTTTCTTTGTTTCTTTCTGCTGAACTGACAGTTTAGTATTGAGAAGAGCTATGAAAATGGAATTCACTTGTTCATCTGAAGTACACTAGCTAAAAGTCAAGTCTTGTAAACAGGAAAAATAAAAAAAAAAGTTTATTTTTAAGTTTTAAATCTAATATTTTCTGATTGTTAAAATCTTTAGAGAATTTCTAGAATTAAAGATGTGTGATTGGATGCAAAATCAAACTTTTTTTTTGAAGAATTAAGACTTAAATTTTTAATCATTTATTGGTGATTTTGTATTCGGGACTGCATTTATGTAATTTTTTTCCTTAATGATTAGTGATTTTTTATTTCATTTGTGTAAATTTTTAACTCATTTGTGGAGGAAATTGCTTGTAGTTTGTCAGTCTCATATTAATCATAAATATATTTAATTTGTTTTTGCCTTTTTGATGTATCAGGTTTGGAGATGCATTCAGTATGTTGATAAGTTTGCCAAAGGAAAATCATATCTGGTGTGGCACTTGGGACATAATGGGTCCTCTATTGGAAACTTTCTACAATTATTTCAAAGATGACCGTGATGATTCTCCTCTCAGGCTTCTATGGAAGAGGATCTCTGAGGAAATGAGACATTGTATCCAATGCGTTTCTCAGCATCATCATGCCCAAGAGATGTTCAGCATGGAATATGAGTTGTGTTCCGTAGGTCCCCTTCTTGAGGTGTTGCGGAGCCTTGATGAGGAAAGGGTGACTCAACATTTGAGAGAGATGAATGAAAGATTGGTGCGGCGGGAGTATGATCCTCTATGTGATAATGCTGAGGTTGTCAACCTCATGTATGAGGTATAATTACTGATCTTCTCACTTTTTACTTTCATGTATTACTTTTTGGTACTTACGTTTGACAATTTGACATCATACTGATTTTCTGAGGTGGGGCTGTTATTTGGTTTCTTTTTCCTTTTTCTTTTGGGTTTATGCTTTAAATAATACAAGTGGAATATAAGCAACTGGTCAGTTAATTTTTCTAGTCCCCACTGGATGATTAAGTTTGTCTGATTCCCTACCCCCTTTCTCCCCTCCAGTTAAAAAAATGGTTTGGTGATGGTTCCTTGTGATTTCTCCCATGAAAATCAATTTGTTTTGGGTTATGTGGAATGTCTTTGCTCCTTTAAGAAGGGTTCATTTAACAAGATCTCACTATTTTGTTTTGGGCAATGAGCATTGGGCTTTTTTCCTTGTTACGCAATGCTGATGATTTATTGATCATATTAAGGTCTAAGTTTCTAACACTCTGGAAATGGTTGTGTTGTTTTAGGGCTTTCTTTGGTATTGTTTGTTAATAGGTTTCTATCCTGAACTAGACTCATTTTTTCCATAAATAATTTAAATAGTTGGATATGCAACATAATTTCTAGATGAACTTTTATTTTATTTTATTTTTTAAGCTCCCAAGTAAAGAAAGCCGTACACGTGGGAGTTCAGGTTGGTTTGGATCAAGCTTGTTCAGTTGCTTGCAATGATCAAAGTTTCTAATAGTTAATGATCTCATCTTGTTATGATGGCTTTTAACTGATTTGATAGCTAACAGATATAAATTAGTTTTTATTTGTTTTGCCCTGCTGACTGCTCATTGCTCTTTGTTTACTGTCTATTTGATCACAGGTTTTGATGTTTCCTGTCCTATTAGATGATCAGTCCCTATTTATAGAATTTGAAAGATTCATTGAGGCAGTTGATAATATGCATGAACTGGCTTTGGCTGGGCAACAGTTTCCGGTATTTCACTGGCAAGTTGTTTGTGCACCTTCTTTCTGGCTTAAATTTTTTCATTTTGCTCTCCACCTCATCAAGTAAGCATGATTTTCAGGGTGTTTATGCATTGCTTTTTTTCAATAGAAGAGTGAGGACTGTTGGTCATCGATTAGCTAGATCTATGGGAAAATTGAGGTACTGTTGCTTTTTACCGCCCAGTGCTAGTATGTTGATTTCTCCCTCCTGTTTCCTGTTTTGATCTTATGCTCATGTGGAATTATTGTCCTGGATGTTTAAAAAACCATTAAAAAATTAAAATATTTTATCTTTTTATTGCACATGGTTTCAATCTGTAGTGTTCTGCACGTCATTGCGAGTTTTCTCCCTCTCATGCATATACTCTATTTATGAATTCTTGTTAATGCTGATATCTACATCATTGCTGCAAAAATATATTGAACCAAGGTTTATATCATTTTCTTTCCTTAATTTTATTCTGTTTGTATGTAGGAGAGCAACTGACTTGGAACCTTTGCAACCTTTGCTTAAAAAATTCATTGGCTTTTTGGAGAATGAAGTATTGCCTTCAACTTTAGAGACTTCAAGGCCAAGGACACAGCTGGACCGAATACCTATATGGCTTGGAATTACATCATTGTAAGGAAGTAGGGTTGAATTCTTGATCTTCTATAACTGTTTCTTTTGTCTCCATACTCTGTAATGTTATGTTTCTTTTTGTGGAAATGAAGGCTTGAGTTCTTGGAACCTCCAGCCTTTGAAGAGGGAATACTAGAGTGCTATCCCATCTTTTTTGATATTGTGCTCAACCACATCAGTGGTGATTCACATGAATTTTCCCATGCTGTTAACTGCTTAAGAGAACTCTTCAAAATGCTTGGTATGAGCTTTTTGTTCTTTTTCCTCTTCATGTAATCTAGGTTAATCTGTGCTTAATGTTGGATTGACCATTTTTCTTGTCTTTGCTGTTGACACTGCCCCCTTTCAAACTCATTTTCTTCTTTTTGTTTTTACACTTTCTTAAGGTTGTAAGCTTTGGCTGAGGTCTACATTATCTCCAAGTGTGATGCGCAACACATTGTTGGGTCAATGTTTTCACACTAGAAATGAGAAGATACATAAAGATATTTTTGATCTTTTCCAGCCATTTTTGCAGGCATTTGTCTTCTTACTTTTCTTTTGATACTAACTTTGCAGCATATGTAGTTGTTATAAAGTTGCTGATGTGTAGTAACATTTATTGTAGTCACTTGAAGCTTTGCAAGATGGTGAACATGAAAAGCAACGCAGGAGTTTCCTTTATTTTCTTCTCCATCAAGTTCCTGTGAGCAGTAACTTCAGTGTTTTAACAAGAAAAACTGCGTGCAAGGTTCTTTCTATATTCTAGAATATGGGGAATGGCAATGCTTTATGCTATATTATTCTCCCTTTGTTTTGTTGTCATGGCTCGATCTTTTTGCTACTTATTACAAGATTGTACTTTCAGATTGCTTTTCTTATCATACAACGAGGTTACAAGATGAATCCACCATGCCCTCCTTTTGAGTGTGCACATATGTGGTATGTCTCATTGAATATTTTTATCCCGTTTATTTTCAACCTTTTTATGGAATCTAGGATTTGGAGATGGATGAAATGCCTTTATTTAAATATGTTGTTTTAGTTTTTTCCAAGCTGAGTTGTGAGAGAAAAGATTTTGAGGGCCAAGACAGTATCAGATGAATGTGGATATTGGTGGAAGAGAATGGCTTTTGTGTTAGCTGACGCATTGTGATTTTAAAAGTTTGACCTCATTTATTGTTGGCCAGGGATAAATAAGAGGCAATTCAATTTTCCTAGCGGCAATAGGTAGAGAGTACTTTTTCTTAGTGTTTGTGTTTTTGAAACTAAATACCCTCTCTTTTACTGAAGGAAGAAGTTCTTTCTGTGAAGCTTGTAGGCTTGATACTTAGGGCATTTTCGTAATCTAGTTAAAGGAATACTGTACTGACCTATATGACTGAGTTAACTTGTCTCTGCAGTCACATATATATGCATATACATATATATATATATATGTATAGTTGCACAACTTCTTTTATTTCATTATGTTCAAGGGAGTTTGCAATGAAACAGATTTATAGGACTGATATGTCAGCAATCATGGTGGACAGGGGTCCTTCGCTTGTTTCTTCCTTGAAGGATTCTTCACTCCACAGTTCTCTGCGCCAGCCTGCCTTTGATCTCATACAAACCATTCTGGTGTCTGATGCTGCTGCCTTAATAACTTCAATGCTGAATTGCAGCACTGCTACCAGTATTTTGAAAAACACTTCTATTGAGTTAGATGATGAAGAAGAAGATAATGAGCTTCCGTTTACTAAGGATGTTGAAGAGAAAGATACTAGTTGTTGGAGTGAATTTAGTGCTCAGAGTCTAATTACTTCTCGGGAGTGTAGAGAGTGGATGTGTATTCCCATGTTGTGGATTGATGTTCTTATTGATATTGATCCTCCAGTTCTCCCAATATCATTTTTCAAGGCTGTATTATGGGCTCGATCTCGTTTCCCTCTGGTAGAACCTGAGAATAGTGCAGAATTGGCTCTTGATATTAGAGGTTGGCTTTCATCATCTGCTGCAGAAATCTCAAGCACATTTGGATGGAAGGTACCAACTGGTTCTGATGATGGAGAGAAGGAATCTAAAAACTCTATGAGATTGTCAACCATGTGTCTTCCTTTAATAAAGACGTTCAACAGGTTCTTAGCATGTCTACTTTTCTCCACATCTTTTACTTTATGGCAATGTCTGTTATATGTTTTCAAGTCGTTATCTGTATTGTGAAATCGCCATTTCAAGTTAAATAAGGGTCTGTAATAATGGATTTTTTTTCAGGTTAACTGCACATTTTTTGATTCGAATGGGGCAAGGGGAACTTCTCAAGCAGTGGACTTGGGAACCAAGGATGGGGGAAAGCTTGATCCTCTCTCTTGTGGACCCTAATGATGTATGTCTAATTGTAGTCTATATCTTGTAAATCAACTTATAATACATTTATGATATAGGTTGAGTGATGAAATATGTACACTTTTCTTTGTTTTTCTTCTCCCTGCCTAAAATAAGAAACTTCCTGCTGCGGTTGACCTTCCAGTATTTTGGGCATAAACTTCATTTATTATCTTTCTTATTTTTGCTGCTGCAGAATGTGAGACAGTTTGGCAAGTGTATCTTGGAACAAGTTTCAAATACGCGGGGTCTTGGTTGTAGTTTGAAGTTTCTTTGCTCCAACGTTTTTTCTCTATCTGCTGTTTATTTGGGTGTGAGGCATGCCTTGAAACTTGTAAGCGTTAATCTCTTTGCAATAGGCCCTAAAACAAGCACAGTCAGCATTTAGCTACATTTTCTTTCTTGTTTATTTAATATTGTTGACATGGAGACTGGTTATGTTCTCAGCATATTGTGTTCTTTATTAAAGGATCATTTTATGGACAATGGCTTTTTTTGCAATGTCCTACATGTTCTGCTACTGTACAATTACAGCATATTAGTTATTTGCTGACATTTTCTTTATTATGAGAAGATGAACTTCTACTGATATTTTTCTCTTTACATATATGCATATATATAAACTGTGTTCTAATGTTTTTTGCTTGCATTCTCCAGGTCCAGCTAGATTCCGTTCTATTAAAGTTTCAGACTTTGCATCACTTTTTCTTTGTTCTATGCAAGTTACTTAAAGACGAGGACTTGCCTAATTCAGATTTATCTGAGAATTCATCCAATGTCTCAAATGTCATGAAGTACTCTTCTCAGGGTGGATTTCTTAAGCAGCCATTATTTGAAGTTTTGCCTGCAAATAAGGGTGGAAATTACGCAAGTGTTGACCTGGAATTGAGGGAAAATTTCTGTTCCTCATTGTCAGAAATGGCATGGCCAACCTTATGCAAATGCTTGGTAGAAGGGAAGGCATTTATTGATTACAGTATTTGTCAGGTATCATCCTAGGATCTTTATTGCGTTACTGTTTCTTTCTTGCATGAATTATTGATTATATTATGGAAGTGCATGTGACATTTAATTACTGTTATGGGCATCATCTGATGCCAGTTACTTCTTTCTGGACTAACTTTATTGGGTCCTACAAATTTTCATGTATGACATTGTCCATATTAATTACAGGGTTGATCTTGAGTGCTTTTGTATGTACATTCATGCCTCTCCATCTGTTTGTATATTTGCCTTTGCACATGTATTTCTGGCTAGTTCTTTGCTAATATTAAATATTAGAAGAGATGCTGGTGGTTCTTGTGTAAGTTAATAAAAGATGATTCAGCATTAAAATTCTGTCAGATGCATCATAGCTCAGTTCATTTAGCAGGCATAGTTGATTTTTTATTTGCCTTTTTTCAGATGACTTGTGTGCGTGTGCTTGAGATCCTCCCTGTTCTATTTGGAAGACTTGGTCCATCATTTGCTAGACCGTTTGGAGATTCTAAAGTAGCATTAGAGAATTTCATGGATTTCAAATGGCTTCATGATCTTATGGACTGGGGAAAGTCACAACTTAAGGTCATTGTTGTCTATTGGAAAAAGGCCATAATCTCTTTGCTGAATGTGTTCAAACTATTAAGGAGTGATAGTTCTCTATTGATGTTCACGGCCATTGAAAATCTTATTTCAAGTGGTGAGTTTGTTTATTTTTAATTTTTATGTTTCATTTGGAAAAAAAAATTAGGGAATATATTTGGATCTGGTGTTTATACAAGTTGTTAGGATGTATATAGTCATTATGTAAAAATTAGTAAAGATTCATTATACCTATATACTTGAAAAATTATAGAAGAATGCATTTCTGAAATCCACTTTTTTGTTAGTTCTTTTAAATTCACTACTCATTCAAGATTTAGCAATTCTATGAATTTGAATGTAACTTTAAAACTCATTATTGCATTAACTATGAATACACAATTTATACTACATATCAAATACAAATCATTACTTTTAAATGTAAGTTCCTGGATGCAACCTTGATTAACCTAATTTCAATTCTCCTTTTTTTTCTTTTCTTTTTTTTTTTTTATCATTCATTTGGTCATTATTTGTCTATTGCTAGGTGTATTCATGTGTTATGTGCTTTTTGAATATAGATGCTGTTGACATGGATGAATTGACAGAACAAGTATCACGACTTTGTGTTACATTATCTAAAGAAGTTTCTTGCGGCCTTGGACATTCAACCTTGAGGTCAAAAAAATTGTTTAGGTACTCTACACCTGATGTGCAGCCTTCTTCTATTGAAACAAATGTAAAAGCCTTGGATTCCTTAAAAGTGGCAAAAAGAAAGAATGAAAATAATCTGATTGTTCTTTCTGATGATGAGGAGGAGAAAGATATTGCATCTGATAAGTCAAGTCACAAAATGTTGGATGGGGAGGCAGGGTTTCCTTCGAACGATGAGCATGCTTCAGAAGCTGACCATGCCGAGAAGGATGTCCATAGCACTGCCGCTGATACTTCAAAGAATTTATTCGAGTCTCCCCTTAAAAGAGATTCCCTTGTTTCCCAGAAGCAAGAACCTGAGAAATCAAGAGTCAAGCCACGTCTTGTCAAATCAAAAGACCTTGATAGTGAGAGGATAGAAATAAGCTCCAACTCCAAAAGTAATGTCATTTCACCTGAGTGTAGAGTTGATCAGAAGAACAAAAATGATGAATCTGTCAAACTTAACAGTATTAATCAAGGTTGCAACAAAATAATTTCTGGAACAAATGATACTATTTTGAAGGAGTTGGTACATGATGCTGCAGAAGATCCATTGGAGTCTGCTTTCAGAACTGCAAGAGTACAGTCATCATTTCTTGCAAAAGCAGGTCCTTTTGTTCCTAAAAGGCAAGTCATTCAACTTAAATCACCCTTTGGAAACAGATCTAGCCTACACAGGCTGGAAGCTCAGGTTAAAAGGTTCAAGCCTCCAAGACTAGATGACTGGTATAGGCCAATATTAGAAGTAGATTTCTTTGTAACAGTGGGATTAGCATCTGCAAGTGACGATGAGAGTCGCACTGTTAACAAATTAAAAGAGGTCCCTGTGTCATTTCAGTCATCTGAACAGTATGTAAACATTTTTCGGCCATTGATTTTGGAGGAGTTTAAAGCACAATTGCATAATTCCTTTCTGGAGATGTCCTCATGGGAGGAGATGTATTATGGCAGTATATCTGTGCTGTCAGTTGAGAGGGTTGATGATTTCCATTTTACTCGATTTGTCTATGATGGTGATGATTCTACAGCATCTAAAAGCTTTTCAGAGAATGATCTTATTTTGCTTACTAAAGAGCCTCTAAAAAGTACCTCCCATGATGTTCATATGGTTGGAAAGGTATGTTATCATAATATACTATATACTGAAGTTGTATCTTTACTGTTTTATTGCATTGTTTTCTTTTCCTCACAAGTTTTTTTCTTAGATTTTTTTTTTCTGCAAGACCTGTGCAGCCCTCTTTTTTAGGCGAATTTCTCGTTTGTTTTTATGTTTGTTTATATCTCACCGTCATATTTTTTGACCTTATCATTTCTGTATCTCACAAAATTTCAGACTACCCATTGACCTCAAACATCCAACTCATACTACTTTGTGTCCTTTACTGTTTCATTTATTGTTTTTAGTTACCGACTGGAAGTAATTTTTGCTATTGGTGTGTGCTTAAATATGTGACGTTAATTTAAATATCTGATTCTAAAAGTGAGTTACAATTTGTTACAATTGATGATTTATTTATAAATATGATTTGGCTGCTACTATAGGTTTGCACCAGTTAGCTGATGATTTAAAGTGTAAACCTAAAATCACAATAGTCAAATAAGTTGTATGCTTGCATATTGGTGAAGTTATTGACATGTTAATTGACTTCTAAATTCAATTATTGTCTGTTAAATATGGGTTTAGATGGTCGATTTCCAAGTTTGGATTAAGAATAATGATATATTGATTTGTAAATTTAGTTGAAATGACACCTTAGTGAGTGCAACAAGTTTGAATAGTTTTGAGGGTGTAAATTCGAAATTGTTGATCAATCTATTGGAGTTCAAGTTAATGCCAAAGTTACTAACTTTCATTATTGCCAAAAGGAAAATTATCTTTTCATATAGTGATTTTCACTCAAAACGATCAACTAAATGTTCATCACTTCTCTCAACCTTAACTAATATTTTATTTCTTTTGGTATTGGAAAAATCTAAAATTTGGTCCTTGTGTCACTTGACTACTATGGCAATATGCTAGCTTTGCTGCTTGTTTTTATCAAAAAATCTGGTGGAACCAGTTGGTTGAGAGTTTCTGGTTGTCTAAACCTATTCTTAGGTGTTCTGTACAATCCAAGATCATCAAACTTACCTGCATATATTTGATGGTTGATACTCCCGATTTTACATGGACTTTTTCCCGACTTTTGATTGGCATTTTAATCTTCCTCATTGAGCTGAATTTTATTTCTGGGTTGCTTAAACTTCAAGCGACCTTTTAATTTACTTCATTACTTTTACTTTGGGTTAAGTTGACAAAGATTGGATTTTCCATTATCCTGAATGAACTAATGCCACCGTCATTGGTTTGTACAATTATGTGCCCATATTTCATCAAAGCAACATACTTGTTCACAGGTGGAGAGGCGTGAGAGAGACAATAAAAGAAGGTCAAGTATACTGCTGATTCGGTTTTATCTTCAGAATGGTTCAATACGTTTGAATCAAGCTAGGAGGCAGCTTCTTGAACGTAGTAAATGGCATGCCAGTCGCATCATGAGCATTACACCCCAGCTTCGAGAATTTCAGGCACTATCAGCAGTAAAGGATATCCCTCTGCTTCCAATCATTTTAAACCCTGTCAATGATTCTACCATCTCTGATAAACCAAGACTAGATTTCAGTAAGCTGTCCCAGCCCTTGCAGCAATTACTGAGGTCATCCTTCAATGATAGCCAGCTTCAAGCTCTGAATGTTGCTGTTGGATCACAGAAGATAAAGAAAGATTTTGAATTGCATCTTATTCAGGGTCCTCCAGGTAGGTATTTAGCACTCCCTCTATACCATTATGTTTGCCTGTTATTGTCTTTTTGGGTCAAATGAACTCAAGTTTGATCTTTTTTTTTTTTTTAATAAAATCATAAAATGAAAATTTTAAAATTAAGATTAAGTATGAGTTTCAAAATTTTTAAAAGATATGTCTTTAAATTTTAATTCAATATAAAATTTTGAAAAAGTGGTCAAAGTTGAGTCTGTTTGACCAATTGACAAACAAAATGGGACAGAGGGAGTGTTTTTTTGCTTCTACTTTCAACTTTGAGTATATTGTAATTTTACGTAATGTTTCAACCAGAATCATATATATGCTGTATTGACAGCTTCTTGCTTGATTCAATAGGGACTGGAAAGACCCGAACTATTGTGGCTATGGTTGGTGTTTTCCTTGCTTCCCTTCAACGGAGAACAAATGAATCAGAGAATTCACAGAATGGTGATTTGAAACAAAGCTATAGTTCTTCCACCAATTCAAGGACACGAGTCAGCCAGGCCACAGCCATTGCAAGAGCATGGCAGGATGCTGCCTTGGCTAGACAACTAACTGAGGATGTTGAAAGGTCAAAAAAATCAACAGAAAGTTCTACAAGAGGAAGAGTGTTAATTTGTGCTCAGTCAAATGCTGCAGTTGATGAGTTGGTGTCAAGAATATCTAATGGTCTACATGGGATAGATGGAAAGAGGTACAAACCTTATCTTGTACGGGTTGGAAATGTAAAAACCATGCATCAAAATTCTCTACCTTTCTTCATTGATACACTTGTTGATCATCGGTTGGCAGAAGAGAAAATGCATACAAAGGATGCTAGGAATGATTCAAGTGTAGAATCTTCTTCTACAGTACTGCGTTCTAATCTGGAAAAGCTAGTTGAAGACATCAGATTCTATGAAACCAAGCGTGCCAACATAAGGGATGGAAATTCGGGCCTGAAGAAAACATCAGAAGATGGATCTGATAAGGAAACGGATGTAAAAGAAATGTCTGATTTGGAAGTAGAGGCAAAGCTACAACGATTGTACGAGCAAAAGAAACAAATGTATAAAGATCTTAGTGCTGCTCAGGCACAAGAGAAGAAGACTAATGAAGAAACCAAAGCATTAAGGCATAAACTGCGGAAGTCTATTCTAAAGGAGGCTGAAATAGTTGTCACAACATTAAGTGGTTGTGGTGGAGATCTCTATGGAGTATGTGCTGAAACCATATCAAGTTTTAGGTTTGGCAATCCATCTGAACATACTCTTTTTGATGCTGTTGTGATCGATGAAGCGGCTCAAGTAATTGTTCTTATTTTTTGTTCTGTTGATGTTTTCATCTTATTAGTTCTATTGTTGCTTTCTCTTTGCTTTTTAAGGGTTAAATTTGTCACTGCAGGCTTTGGAACCAGCTTCTTTGATTCCTCTTCAGCTTTTAAAGTCAAGAGGGACAAAATGTATCATGGTATGAGCTAAAGGACTAAAGACTATATACTTAATAGATTTTTGGAATTGTATTTTGGTACCCTGAGAATCCATACTGAAGTTAAAAATATTTTCTCAAGGTTGGTGATCCAAAGCAGCTTCCTGCAACAGTTCTCTCTAATATTGCAAGCAAATTTATGTATGAATGTAGCATGTTTGAGCGTTTACAAAGAGCTGGTCATGCTGTTGTTATGCTTACTGAACAGGTAACCTACATTGTAATTGCTTATTCCTTTCCGTAGTGTCTAAACTTAAAGTCCTTTCTTTTGTGGTAATCTTTTTACTGTGTTGTATAATGTGCCATTTCTACGGTGGCCGCCTTCTGGATATGAAACAAAAGATCTACCATGAATGAGATTACTTGTTACGGGTTATTAAAATTAAGAGTTTAAGGATGCAAAAGCATGTTGGTTGGTTCATAGCTGTTGCTATATGATTTGGGAGGTTTATTTTGATATTCCCAACATTTTTTTCTGCTCTGGAAATTCTATGCCCTGTTGTATGACATGCCATTTCTACAAATGGCTACTCTGTATGTTAAAAAAAAAAAAAAAAGAGCTACAATTGGAATGAATGTGATCATGTGTTAAAGATTATTAAGGTTAAGACTAAAAGTATCTACTAGGGAAATGAGATTATCCCATGTTAAAGGATATTATCACATGTTAAGGGATATTAAGCTAAGAGATTGAGGATGTGAAAGAATATGGGTTTGCTGTTGCTTTATGATTTGGAAAGTTTGTTTAAATATTCTTAACATTATTCTCAAAGATCATATATGGGATATGCCTTGTGCATATGGGTGTTGTTAGCTTGACAGTGCTTGTTGTGGAAAAACTAAGAAATAAATCAGTGTGGAAACTGAATGTATATTGAAAACTGCTTATTGAGAATTATACAAGAATCTTAGGTTTATATACAACTAACTAGGGGTTAAACTAGGAAATTAAATCTTCCTAAAAAACTAATCCTATAATTGAGGGATTGTCTATCCTAATTTTAGGGATACAAATACTTAATTCTAGAGATACAAATATAAATATACAAATTACAAGTTACAACCAGCTGTAAATAAGTGTTTTCCCACACTCCCCCTCAAGCTGGTGAATAGGTGTTTTCCATTCCCAGCTTGGAAATAATTTCTTGGAAATAATTTCTTGAAATGTTGCATTGCTGAGACCTTTAGTCAACACATCTGCAAGTTGACCCTTGGTTGATACATAAGGTGTATAAATCAACCCACTGTCTAGTTTCTCCTTTATGAAATGCCGGTCTACTTCAATGTGTTTTGTTCTGTCATGTTGCACAGGATTGTGTGCAATGCTTATTGCAGACTTGTTATCACAGTAGAGTCTCATTAGTCCATCCTACTTGATCTTCAAGTCTTCTAAGATAATCTTTAACCATAGTAGTTCACAAATTCCTTGAGCCATTGCTCTGAACTCTGCTTCAGCACTTGATCTTGCCACCACATTCTGTTTTTTACTCCTCCAAGTCACAAGATTACCACCTAAGAAAGTGCAGTAGCCTTGGTGGATCTTCTATCAGTTACTGAACCTGCATAATTAGCATTTGTATATGCTTCTAGAACTAACCCCGAATTTCTTTTGAATAAGATACCTCTCCCAAGATTGGCCTTCAAATAGTGCAATATACAGTAGACAGCCTGTAGGTGCACTTCTTTAGGACTTTGCATAAATTGACTTACCACACTCACAGTATATGCTATATCAGGTCTAGTATGTGAGAGATAAATGAGTCTTCCAACTAATCTTTGGTACATCTCTCTATTTACAGCAGCATCTTCATTAGCTTTTCCAATTTTATTATTAGGATCTATAGGGGTATTTGCAGGTTTACATGCAAGCTTCCCAGTTTCCTTCAAAAGATCCATCACATATTTCTGTTGTGAGATGAAAATACCATGCCATGAGTGAGCTACTTCAATTCCTAGGAAGTACTTCAATCTCCCTAGCTCTTTTATCTCAAATTCTCAAGCCAAACACTATTTTAGAGATTCTCTCTCTTTTTCATCATCTCTAGTTACAATTATATCATCAACATACACTAATAGAACTGTGACTCTCCCTGAATCAAAGTGCTTGATAAACAATGTGTGATCTCCTTGACTCTGTTTATATCCCATTGCTAGCATCACTTTGGCAAATCTCCTGAACCAAGCTCTAGGAGACTGTTTAAGGCCATATAAAGCTTTTTTCAGCCTACATACTTTGTTTGCTTCTAGATGATCTCCAAATCCCGGTGGAACCTTCATATATATTTCTTCTTCCAAATCACCATGTAGAAAAGCATTCTTTACATCAAATTGTTGAAGCTGCCAATTGTAATTTGCAGCAAATGATAACAAAATCCTAACTGTATTCATCTTGGCAACGAGAGCAAAGGTTTCCTGGTAATCCACTCCATAGGTTTGAGTGTAGCCCTTAGCCACTAACCTGGCTTTATACCTTTCAGCAGTACCATCTGCCTTGTATTTTACAGTGAAAACCCATTTACACCCCACTGAATTTTTTCCTTTAGGCAACTCTACCAGTTCCCATGTCTGTTTTTCTCTAAGGCCTCCATTTCTATTTTCATGGCTTGCCTCCATTTCTCACTGGATAATGCCTAGGATAATGTAGTTGGAACAGAAATAGTGTTTAGGCTCACAAGAAAATTTTTGTGGGATGGTGAGAATTTTTCAAATGACACAAAATTAGAGATTGGGTATAGTGGATACTTGGTACATTCTCCGGTTCTTTTCCTAATGGCAATAGGCAGATCATAATCACTAGTTATAGTTTTAGGAGATTCATGCTCATTTTGAGAAAGAGAGTCAAAAACTGTAGTTACCTCATTTCCAGAGTTAGAATCAGGTTCTTAGATTGGCATTGGTTCAGGATCTGGAACTTTCCTTCTTGAGTACACCTGTAATTCCTTCATGGAATCAAGAACAATATTATCCTTTGTCACATCTTTCGTATTTGGAATGGGTTCAGACTCAAATTTAGTGTTTGACTTGAGCTCAGCAGAAACAAGTTTCGACTTAGAAGAATTAATGGGTGTAAATGTTGAAGAAGGGGGCAAATCAAGCAAAAAGAAGTCTTTATCCTTATTTTCCATGAATGAAGTCTCCCTCTGAAGATAAGGTTGAGTAAAAAATGGTTTATTTTCTTCAAAAGTGACATCTGCAGACACAGAATTTTTTGGTAGGAGGATGATAGCACTTATATCTTTTTTGAGCTGAAGAATACCCCACAAAAATACATTTAAATCGCTCTTGGATCCAACTTTCTCCTGTTATGACTGTGAACATGAACAAATGATGTACAACTCAAAATCCTAGGTGTGAGATTGTTTTGGTATTGAGGTGGGATAAAATGTGAGAAGTAGTTCCATAGGAGTTTTAAAATCCAAACACTTTTGAAGGGTAACCTATTTATAATGTGTGTGACAGTGAGAACAGCTTCCTCCTAGTAAGATTTAGGTACATGATGAAAAGAAAGTGCTTTGTGTCTAGTGAATGGCTAACAGCTCTCTGCCACTATCATTCTGCTGTCAGTGTTAACATAATATGACTCATCGGATAATCACTTAAATAGTGGATAGACTCTGGTTGAAGAGTCTCTTCATTAGCAGGACCTAAATCTATTCATTCTCACTGCAAATTGATTTTGGATCAAATTTGAGAGTCTAAAAACACACTATTTACATCTGATTTGGATTTAAGTAAAAAAACCCAAGAGACCCTGGTACAATCATCTATGAATGAAACAAACCATCTCACACCAGAAATATTAGGAATTGTAGAGGGATCTCAAATGTCACTATGAATCAAGTAAAAGGGAGTAGAACTTTTTTGTTACTGATTGGAAAAGACACACGTCTATGCTTTGCAAGTTCGCAAATATCACAATGAAAATCTTCGACATTTAATCCTTTGAACAAAGAAGGAAACATGTTTCTCAAAGTTCCAAAAGAAAGATGTCAAGACGAAAATGATAAAGCCAGATTTTGTCTTTATTGGAAGATTTTTCAGAAAGAAATGACAAAGGTAAACTATTCTTGATATTACTTGTGTTATTTGATGTCTCAAGATAGTATAGTCCATCCTTCTCCTTAGCAAGTCCAATCATCTTTCCCAAACTCTGGTCTTGAAATTCACAATAAGAGGGATAAAAAGTTACGTTGCAATTCATATCTCTGGTAAGTTTTTGTATAGATATCAGATTAGTAGACAATTTAGGAACATGAAGAATATTTTTTGAGAACAAACGAGGGATTAACTTGAACATCTCCTAATCTTGCCACTATAGTAAGTGAACCATCTGCAACAACAATTTTCTTATTACTAGGACACAGGTTATATGCACTAAACTTTTGTGAAGAATGTGTCATATGGTCTGTGGCTCCTGAGTCAATGACCCAAGAACTCGTAATAGGCTTAGTCGAGACATTTAATCCATGAGAACCGGAAGCTTTACCTGAACTAGAAACCTTATCCAAAGAACATACCACAGTAGGCTTTTCAAGAATTTTCAATAAGTTTTTCAGCTTTTCAATCTCTTCCCTGTCGAACTCTCCTTGTTTTTAAGACATCTATAGTACTCCATTGATTTTCTCAGTTAACATTTCCTCAAATTGGGTGGTAGTGTTATCTTTCTTTGAAAAGGTTCGACAATGAAGGCCTAAATAGGATTCGGCAATGAAGGCTAAAATAGAAGTTAGCAATGAAGGCTGAAAATTTTGCTTCCCAAGAAGAGCCTAAAGCTCTGATACCATGTGAAAAAACTAAGAAATAAATCAGTGTGGAAACTGAATGTATATTGAAAAACTGCTTATTGAGAATTATACAAGAACCTTAGGTTTATATACAACTAATTAGGGATTAAATTAGGAAACTAAATCTTCCTAAAAAACTAATCCTATAATTGAGGGATTATCTATCCTAATTTTAGGGATACAAATACTTAATTCTAGAGATACAAATATAAATATACAAATTACAAGTTACAACCAGCTGTAAATAAGTGTTTTCCCACACTTATTTTTGTCATAACTGATTTAAAAGGTGTTCATTATTCTCAGTTTTTTGATAATTGTTTAGGCCATGCTAAAGGATAAGTATTTCATTTGATCAGATTGTCAATTGCATATTTTATGTTGTTCTTTTATTTATTATGTACTGTGCCATTATATTTATGTTAACATTTTCACTTGCATTCTTCAATGTAATTATTCTGTGAATATTTGATGTTTCTTTGACATTTGGTTTTGTATGTACATCTTAATGGAACTCACGGGGTTTGTTACTATTGCTTGTACTGTTAGTATAACAACTTAATTACTCTTGATGACTGCCTTCTGTTGAACATAGTGTTTAACTTCTAATAAAAACCTGTAGAGGTTTTTTTAGATAATCTATACTTCTGGAAATGTGATTATGTGGTTGATCATGTGCTAGAATTGTCCAAATAGTTTTCTTGTGGGTTCTTATTTGTGTTTTTGCAAGTCCACTGTGTGCCATTAAAATGACCAAACCTCTTTGACTATTATCTCTGTATTGGCTGAGCCATAATAACTACTAAGCTCTCTGCCGAAATTGAAATTAGTGAAAATCCAACCTAAACAAATCTCCATTTTTTTTCTCTCGCAAGTAAACTTAGTTATTTAAAAAATGATTACTGCATCTTAAATTCTGTCCCCTTTAGCTTGCTTGGTTGAATGTGTTCTTTGACGAGTTTCTCATGAGCTACTAATTCTATGTTTTCAATTTTCATCCACTTTTTTTAGTAGTTTCTACTTGAAACACATCTAGTGATTTCTGTAGCTTAATATTATGATCTAAAGCATGAAATCAGTGTGAGGTAATAAAAGCCTTTGGTATTCTTGATCTTATTTGATACAAATGAGAATACCCCTTTTCCAGTTTGGTAGTCTAACATATCTTTTCTGTCTTTGGTTAAGTGTCAAAGACCTGGCATATTTAGATGTTTACATTCTAGAATATTGTGTGGTACTCTGCAGTTACCTAGCTTTTATTAATACTGTTGGATGATAATCCATCTTTCATGAAGGTTGTACCGGGTTTGTCGCTATTTTCTTTTGAGCTATAACTTAACCCCTTCAAAGAAAATTTACCAGGTTTTGCAAGCTGGTTAATCCAACTGTATTCACCAGAGGAAATCCTTCTTTTACTTCTCTCTCTCTCTCTCTCTCTCTCTCCTTTTGGTTATACCAGTTTGTTTTGCTGTTCACTCTTTTGTAAGGCTTTGGCTTTGTGCTAAATACCATACCTTAGTTGATGTAGACGTATTTGTTGCATATTATGATATTTGTTTAAGGACATAGGTAAATCCAAATTCATTATTTCAATGGTAGTTATTTATTGAGGAAGGTGAAGAGACTATGGGCATGTGTGATAGGGAGAAATGTTTTGCAACATACTTGTTGCTGGACTATTTTGATGTATATGTTAATATTTGTTGTATGAGGGGCATCGTGTCTGCTCCATAAAATGTTAGCAACACTTGTTCATTAAAATATAAGGTTAAGAGCTTTCTGTTTACAGTATAGGATGCATCCAGAGATATGTCGCTTCCCTTCTTCACATTTTTATGACAATAAGTTGCTGAATGGTAATACAATGTTGAGCAAATCAGCAGCATTTCATGGGACTGAAGGCCTTGGTCCTTATGTGTTTTATGATGTTGTTGATGGTCTGGAGCTTCGTGGCAAGAATTCTGGTGTGTTATCTCTTTACAATGAACATGAGGCTGATGCGGCAGTTGAGCTGCTTAGGTTTTTCAAGAAAAAGTAATTTTTCTCCTTTCCTTGTGATTTTATTATATTAGAATCATTCATCTTGTTGAATTTTATTTTTTTTGGGGTATAGGTATCCATCTGAGTTTGTTGGCGGCAGAATTGGCATAATAACTCCATACAAGCGTCAGCTTTCTCTTTTGCGTTCTTGCTTTTCTAGTGCATTTGGTTCTTCTGTTATGGCTGATATAGAGTTCAACACTGTGGATGGTTTTCAAGGCCGGGAGGTTGATGTATTAGTGCTTTCCACAGTTAGAGCAGCAAGCTCTTCGACAGGCATAAGTTCAAGCAGTATTGGGTTTGTTGCAGATGTAAGACGGATGAATGTGGCCTTGACAAGAGCCAGGCTCTCTCTCTGGATTTTGGGGAATGCTAGAACTTTGCAGACAAACCATAATTGGGCTGCTCTTGTGAAGGACGCTAAGCAGAGAAATTTGGTGCTATCAATTAAAAGGCCTTACCATATCAATTTTAGAACAAGTGCTAGAAAAAATCTTGCTCCAGAAGATTCTGATAATCATCTGAGTCAGGTTAGGCATGTCAAAAAGGTTGGAGGTACTGGCCAACTTGCAAAAAATGAGTATGGGGAAAAGCAGAAGTTTGAAAGGAACAGAAAGCATATTGACAGTGTGGCTGGCTGTAACAGGACTGTTGCTGGAGATGATGATAACTCTTTGAAAAGGAAAGATATCCCGTGTAGCCAAAGAAAAGCAAAAGATGATTGTGATCCTCCCATTGAAAGGAGTATTTCATCTGCATCTGCATCTGCAAATGATAACAAAAGACAATTGCAGTATGAGAAGTCTAGGATTCCAGAGAAACTGGCTACCTGTAGGGGAAGCCAAGAGAAAGAGACTAGTGAAGTGCAAGTCAATTCAAGGAAAAACCATATGAAAGAAAGAAGTAATGAAAATACCGGACTAGAAGTGGGTCACAGCAGGAAAAATAAGAAATTTAATTTGTCAAAAGAATCAAAGAAATCTTCTGGGCAGGAACAAAGAAGTTTGCATCTTTCAACTCCCAGACCTGACAGCAACAGGAAAGATAGAGTAGCAAATGAAGGTTACAGAGATCCTGAGGATGTTGGCTCTTCTCAGAATTTAAATGTGAAAAGGAAGCAGCAACGTGAAGCTGTTGATGCCATTCTTTTCTCAGCTCTAATTCCCTCGAAGAAGTCTGAACAATCAACAAAAAATTTACACCAAAAAAGGCCACTTTCCCCACCTTCACTTGTAAGTGATGGCTTCAATCCACCTAAGAAAAGAAAAGGTAAACCTCTGCTGCATTGCTTTACACAAGTCCTATACATTTAGACGCTTAACATGCTCCTTAACGAAGGAATTCTTATCTAGTGTTGACCTTATTTTTGCTTTAGCTGGTAGTAGTTTATATGTGTTCAATATCAGCTTACAATAGGTTTACTTGGAAATCTGTTGCTAAGGGTATTTCTTTGACTGGATAACACTCAACTAAGGTCAGAAACCATGCTAAATTAATTTAACATTTCTCGCTTGTGCACACTTGCACATGCACTACATTGGGCAATGGAAATCCCTATCTCAACTTATGGGTATGTATACTATTATTACTCCCGGAAGAAAAATATGCCTAGTTTCTAGATACAACCCATCTCTTCCATTCATGGAGTTCTTAGCTGTTAGTATGTGAGGCATCTATGTTCCGCTTCTTTTCTACTATTTCAGGTAATGTTGTGTTAATACATCCTTTCGACTGCACTTGCATGTTCGAAAGATGAAAATGATAAAAGTTCTGAGAAGTGAAAAGCATATCTTATCCTTGTAATTGAAATGTAATTTGTTTTTATTTCATTGAAACTATTTTTGGGGTTAAGCTTCTTTTTTTTTTTTTTGGTAGAGGTTCAAGCTTTTGTATGGATATTATCCAAATTTGATACTCTTATTTGGCTGCTTACAGGTCCACCAAAATCCTAAACAAGGGCACTTCACTGCAAGATCAGATTCATCTATAGCACAGTGCTTCAGACAATTCTTTGAGCTTATAAGGGCCTAAGGAGGAAAGTTTTCCACTTTTCTGTAAGCAAAGGAATTTAATGGAATGCTGCTATCATCTTTGTACAAAATGATAAAGCAGAAAGAAGATTCTGGGGCTCCTAGCTATGTTGCGCAAGGAATGAGGTAACCAGCGGCTGTCTCAGCTTCTTCCTAAGATCAGTAAACTAGGTTTAAGCTTCTGTCGCTGTGCTATCGGCTTTGTAAGTTGTATTGAATTATAAGGAAGATAGTAGAGCAGCTAATTGGAGAATCAGATAAAATTTATTGCATTCATAGCATGGGGATTAGTTGAAACTGAACTCCAATCCTAATGCTGCGATGAACAGTCTTAATGGAAGAGTGGTATGGGTACCAACATTTGTGAGTGTCTTGGCTCACAATTGAAATCCTCTTTTAAACCACTTCTTTTGAGGACTGTATCCTCATAGAACTTCGTAGATTCAAAATTAAATCTTGGCTTTTGCTTTATATCCTCCTGTTTCCGGTTGAAAATGTGAACGTTACTATTGTAAATACTTAGTAATATTTTTGTTACCATTGTAGAAAAAGCTTTCAATGTTTTTCTTTTTGGCTCAAATGGTCTTTTATTTATATTTGTATTTTCTATCAAGGAGCTCGCAAATTATTCTCACAAAGGAGTTCAAAAATGGTTAAATACTAGTAAAACAGGAAAATTATTGACACAGTTTACAACATATTAGATACAAAATATATTTTTTGATTTTTATCAAATTAATATGATTTCTATTAAAATTTAAGTTGTATCATTTTTGAAATTTTTTCGTTTCAATTTTATATTATATCGTATTTAAACTTATAATATCTAGATAAATAATCCAAGCAGCAAGGGATTGGGTTTCGTTCCAATCTGTATAAAGTTAGAACAATTATGTTAAACTAAATAGACATGCATTTTAGCCTTTTAGCCATCCACTTATGTTTTATAACAAATATCTATAAAAAAAAGTAAAAAATAAACAGTGAAAAGAAAAAGAGCAAAATCTAATAGCCTCAAAAAAAAAAAAAAAAAAAAAGGAAAAAGAACAGGAACGGATAAATGCTTTCAAATTCTTAAATATAGAATTAAACGGGTAGTTAACAATTTATCAATTCTCAATTAGAATTGATAAATTTTTGGAATTATTTTTCATTCATAGAGAGTTTGCAATTGAGAGTAGTATGTGCGTGTGTGTTGTTTTAGGTTTTAAGATGTACAAAATCTTTGGTATATCTCAAATTTCCCGATCATTAACAACTAGGAAGCTTGAAAATGCAGATCCATCCTAGCTAGCTGCTTTAGCCTTCTTTACTTCCATCACCAACTTCCCCATTTTCAAATCTCTTTTTTCTCTGCTAATATGATTCTGTTTATATATAAATAAATATTTATTTATATATGTGAACGTTTCTATTATCTAAATCCCCCCATAACTGTGGCCAAAAAGACAAAAAAAAAAAAAAAAGCCCCCATAACTTTTATCTACTTATTTATAAGAAACTTTTATTTTTCTTTCCTTTGTATAAATGGTTTAATTGTGTTGATTTAATTTGATTAATACTTTTGTTATTTGATTTTTACTCTATTAAGGCCATAAAAGGTGGCAAATGAGCAGGTTTGAATAGATCCAAGTTTTGAATGCTTTATGTATGGAATTCTTAAATTTGGGTTATTTTAGGTTTGAAGTTTTTTAGATTTGAATTTTTTTATGTTAGGGTCAAGTTTGAGTTCTTTTTTATTTTATAGAAGACGTAATCATTTTAGCAAGTTTTTCGTGTTCAAAACTTTTTTATATTTCAATCATTTTGGATTTGAGCCAGGTTTTGAAATTTTAGTTATTATTTTGATTTGATAAAAAATATAACAATTTCAATACGCATTTTGAATTCAACTTGAATTTAAATTTAAATTTTTTTTTGAGTTTAAATTGTTTTAGATTATTTTTTCACATTAAAACCGTTAGAAGTTTGAACTTCAATTTAGAAGTCTCAAAGTTTGAATTTTGGAAAAGAAGATAAAATTTATGAGATGAGATAAAAGCCTACTCTCCGGGGTTTAAACTTTAATGCAAGAAGCTATGAGAAAAAAAAAAATATTCCATAAAAGAACTAACCAAATATGAATGAGAAGGAGCCGAATCCCTAAATTTTATCTCATCCGTGAACATCATTTTAGATTGGATCGAATCACGTTCCTATATGGATATTTTTTTTGGTTTGATTATGTTTTCACATGCTTGACTGGGATTTTTTTGCCTAAAAATAAGAATTAGAGTTGTCCTAGCATCTTCTGATACTATAAAGAAAGTTTTTCCAAACTGTTTGACACACAATTTGAAGAAAGAAGACTTAAAGACAATTTAGCGAACAAATTCAACGAGGCAATTGGATGATGTTACAAGCTTAATGTTGTGGAACAGGTTTAATTGAGTTTGAAATTAAGTATGGGCCTAATTTTATTTGTATTAAGCTGTTCCATGTATGGCCAGTGTTTATGGCTTTTATACTCTTGTTCTATTTCCAGTTTGTTAGTCACTGTGAGGAAAATGGGGAAAGAGTGTGGAAGGCTGAGAGTGCTGTAAGTTCGAGAATCTCGGATGTAGTTGCCATGAGAGTTGGTTTAGCATAAAGAGGAGCTGGGGTTATTTTGACAGGAACTGTTAAGCAAGATCAAAAAGAATTTTCTTTTTCTAAATTCTTTTTTTAATTTTATCTTCTTCCTTTATTTTCTACTTTTTCATTCTCTATTTTTCTTTCTCATACTATCGCTTTCTGTTGTATAATTTGGCTTCATATAATTTGGTTGTAGAGCCTAAGATTTTGGCGTGGTTGATGATTCTGGCGTGACTGACGATCAGATGATCCAATGCAGATGGATGTCATTTTGTTGCAAAAGAAGGTTGAAAAATTGGGGAGAAATTGGATAAAATTACTGCTCAGCTGAAAAAAGAACTAAGACAGGAGATGGATGCTAGGTTTGATAAATTTTGGTTCAAGATGAAAAAAAATGTTTGAGCAGATAATGTCTTGGTTAATGTTCACGAAGGTGTGGAGACCAATCGTTAGAGCTTGACTCAACAGTAGATGATCCGTACAAAGTACTCATAAAGTGCATGACCACAACAAAACAACTCTCAATATTTCAGACTTGAATATCAAGCCACCCTGAAGAACCCTTCTCAACAGATTATGGGTTTAGACTTTTAGTAATGGAGAAGCGGAGTAAGTGTATTACTATCTACATCGAAAAGTATTTGTTGGATTGAGGCTTTGAAGTATTTGATGGCTCTAAAATAATGGAAGATTTATTTGAGTTTTTAGTGAATCCGCATCTGTGGCAAGAAGCAATCAAGAGATTAGCATCTGTTTTGAATAATGATCAATTTTATCCTATAGAGGGTAAAACAAAACGCGTGCCACAGGTGTTGCAGGCTCAATGTGGATGTGATAATCAGAGGTGAAATTAAAAAGTTTACCAACGAAGCTAGGAGACCTTGGACTTCCTTTGTTGATTATTACATCAAAAGAAATTTGTTTGATAAGGCTTGGGATATTTTTGAAGAGGGTATGGTGGCTCTCAAGATGGAAAACATGATTTGAACAATGAGGAAAAAGAAATGGAGCAATGGCACCATAGGGTCAAGTTATTTGAAGGGAACTTCTCCAAGCAAATAACGACCTACACAGAGGCAGTTAGGATGATTGACCTAATAAAAGCTATTGGAAAACCCCATACTTTGTGGGTGGCTTTTGTGAAGCTATATGAGACCTATAAAGATCTGGCAAATGCTTGTGTCATTTTTGATCTAGTTGTCCAAGAAATTGCAAGACTGTTGATCAATTGACAAGGGTATAGGCTGAGTGGGCAGAGATGGAACTGAGGCACAAGAATTTCAATGGTGCACTGGAGTTGATTAGATGTGACACAATTGAGCCTCTGTAGAGGTCAAACAAAGAGTGACTGTTGACGGGAATGGACCTGTTAAGATGAAACTCCATAAATCCTCGAGGCTCTGGACATTCTATGTAGACTAAGAAGAAAGTCTGGGTACTTTGGAGTCAATTGGAGTAGTCTAGAGAGAATACTGGATTTAAGAACTTCCATGCCACAAACTATTAAAAATTATGCATTTTTGTTAGAAAAGAACAAATATTTTGAAAATGCTTTCAAAGTGTATGAAAGAGGTGTCTATATTCAAGTATCAGCATGTGAAGGATATATGGGTAACTTATCTGCCAAAGTTTGTAAAGAGATACAGGAAACTAAAACTAAAACGAGCAAGGGAGTTGTTTGAGCTTGTAATAAAGTCTGGTCTTCTAGAGAGAGATGAGAAGACAATATGTTTGAATTATGCAGAGTTAGAAAAAAGCTTAAAAGATATTCATCATGCTCATACTTTTCTTTCTAAACTGGATCTTTCACAAAAGAAGGTATTTTTATTTAAAAAAGCTGCTTTTTTATGAGTGCAACATGTTTAGAAAGCCTGCAGGGTCATTGTTTTTGCGGATAGTAAGACAAGCAACCTAAGATTTACTTGTGCTGAAGCCACTAATGTTGCTAAGTCTACGAGAAACTTCTCCCAACAAAATCTTGATGCTCTTTTAAAAGTACTCCCTGGTCTTCTTAGTGGAAGTGCAGACCTTGTTCTTTCTTTGATTCTATCTTCTGCCTCTATTTTCTACTTCTTCATTCTCCATTTTCCTTCTCAGGTACTATTACGTTTTGTTGAACAATTTGGCTCATATCAGATGAAAAAGAAGATTAGAAAGAAGATCCAAAGAACAAAGTCTGTAGAATCTAAAATTCTAATAAAACTTACAAATCCAAAAAGGTAATTAAGGAAAAAAGAAGATACAAGGAACTAAAGTCTAGAACTTCTAAGTTTAAAAACGAAGATATGAAAAACAAGATTTAAAAGAGATCTACAATGAAAGATCTAAAGAACAAGCTCTCTAGTTTTACAATAAACAAATTAAAAAAAGCCAAAGATCATAGTCTCAAGATTCAAAATTTCTTAAATTGAAAAATTTTTTAATTTTCAAAATTGGAATTAAATTCATGAAATCCTTAAATTTAAGACAAATTTAAAAAATGCTTAAATTTGGTATAGAATTCCAAAATTTTAAGATTTCTTAAATTTTTTGAACAAATTTGTTCAATTTAAGATCAAATTATAAGATTTTTTTATTTAATAATTTTAAAGATGTTATGACTCCAAATTGAAGTTGTCTTATTTTAAAATACAAAATTTATGTTTACAAGTTTTGTTTTCTATGAATGGTGAAAAATAATAAAATCGATGTTACTAATGTGAGTTATTATTCTTCCTATAGATTCGTGAATGAAACTTTTCTATAAAAACACTATATAGATTAAGAAATTAAACATATTTTTAATAAAATTTCCCATGCTTCATGTTAAAAGAAAAATGAGGGTAAAATTACATTATTTTAAGGGACGTTTGGTTTAGAAAAATCTAAGATTTTCCTTTATAGTATGTACTTGTGAAAATGTAATTCTTATGTTTGATTCACGGTGTTTGATTATTACGGTAATTTTAGATTCCTAACAGTATCCAAAAGTCTCAAAATCAGAAATTTACCTCTTCCTGTGATTTTTTAAAATTTCGGGAGAATACTACTTTTGTCCCACATTTGCTTTGAATAAAAAATGTTTTCTTTCTATTTTATCCTTTTGATAGTCAATGT